TGATTAAAAAATTTTCTAACCGGTTAGTTGGAAAGTTGTCAACTATTCGGTTTTCCAACTAACGATTTGGAACACTAATTTTGGGGTCGTCTAAAGCCATGTACCCATGTAACTTTTTTGTGTAAATCAACCAAGGACACGTAAAAAATTTTTGTTATACGAAATCTTTATTTGCGTTATTGCAAAAATTGCAATAACAAATTAACTTATACGACATCGGAAATTTACTCAAAATTTTGGTCTGATCTTGCTCGTCTTTATGTTAAATTTTCGTAATCTTAATTCTGAAATTTTGTTTACGCCCGAAAAGGTTAAAAAATAAAAAATATGAAAAACGGTGGTCTAAAATTGTCATGGAGCATTAACAAAAAATGCCGGGAAGGCAATTTTACCTATATAGCTATTCTTCCCCTTACCCTAACACTAAACCAACCCTAATAATTAAAAAAAACAAATCATATGGGTACACGGCTTTTTTTGGCGCAAATAATAAAATCCTGGCGCAGCTGTACATCCTTAGTTACTATATCGATTTTTTCCCGTGATACGTATACTTTCTAAGTGCACTATACTTTCCATTATAAGTCCTCCATTGTAAGTCCTCCATACACTCCGGACAACTCGCACTCGTTATAGTGGAGTCATCGAGCTGAGAAAAAAAAAACTTATATCGAGAGAATACTATATGTACTTCGCTATATCGAATTGAAGTTTAATAATTCCGTAATTCAAAAATCTTCATTATATCGAATCTTCACTATATCCGGAATTCATTATAACGAGAGTGAGTTGTAAAACCAAACAAGAGTTTTAATATTTTAATTACACGAACAGTTTAAAAACGGTTTCCTAGTATAATGCCGGCAATCAAATGTGTCGTTGTTGGTGATAATCACGTTGGTAAAGTATGTAAAAATAAAAAATTCCTATATGCTCATTTCTTATAATTGCTGTTTTAATTATTCATTTATTATCTTTTTATACTGTAGGTTGAACTTCTGATAACTTATACAACTGACAAATTTCCCAGTGAATATGTTCCTACAGTAAGTTATTTTTAATGCAGAAATGGCTGTAATATATATATATTGATATCGCCTCATTGAGTATGAATGATTCACAGGTTTTTGACAATTATAAAGTTGATATCATGATTGGTGATGATCTATATACTTTAGCTCTTTTTGATACAACTGGTGAATATATACATATTTGCAAACGTTCAAATATTACTTTTCTCGATAACATATTTTTTTAATTCTTTTTCTATGTTATATATTGTATGGTAAAATGGTTAATAGGTCAGGAAGATTACAATCGCCTCCGTCCTCTCTCATATCCTCAAACAGACGTCTTTTTGGTCTGTTTTTCTGTAACCTCACCGGCTTCTTTTGAAAATGTCAAAGAAAAATGTTTTCCTGAGGTTCATCATCATTGTCCAGGAATTCCATGCCTTATTGTTGGTACTCGAATAGAGTTGCGAGATGATCCATTGGTGATTGAAAAGTTATCACGACAAAGAATGAAACCCGTAACTTCAGAGCAAGGCGAAAAACTCGCTCAAGAATTAGGAGCAATTAAGTATGTTGAGTGTTCAGCCCTTACTCAAAAAGGCGTGAAAAATGTTTTTGATGAAGCAATAGTTGCTGCTCTTGAGCCAGTTCCATATATTATAAAGCGTCCTAGGAATAAAAGGTTGTCCTTGGATATAATGCTGAATAAAATAAAGTATGTAAATACTATGTTGCTATGATTTTTATATCTGATATTTAAATAATAAATGTATAAATGCACTTTTTTTTTTGCTGATAAATATGTGCTTTAAAGCTCTCTAATAAATGGAAATAAAAAAGGCCCGAATAGAGAAATCAATTATTTTGTCAAAAAATCACAACTTCAATGGATTCCCTTTGATGAGATAAAAAATATTAGAGAAATTGGTAAAGGTGGTTTCAGTACTGTATATTCAGCAACTTATAAGAATCGAACCGTTGCGCTTAAAGAATTTTCTGGGACTCATGATAGATCAACATTTTTTTTGAATGAGGTATTTTTTTTTTACATCTTTCATGCTTGCATAATAATCAAATGTCAATTTTAATTCGAATTGTTATAATAGGTCGAAGCTAATGTTAAAGTTAATGTGGAGATATATGGAATAACTTGTGGCATGCATACAAAAGAATATATGATGGTTTGCCGATACGCTGATAAAGGAGATCTCAAGCATTATCTGTCTAAGAATTTTACTTCTCTGAATTGGAAACTAAAATTAAAATTTCTACATTCTATTATATCGGACTTAGTAAGCATTCATGATAAGGGATATATTCATAGGGACCTTCATAGTGGTAACATACTTCTCTTCAGTGATGATGTAGGAGAAATAGAAACTCATATTTCCGATTTAGGATTATCTAAGAAAACTGACCGTTCAACTATATACGAAGAAATATATGGTGTAATACCATATACAGCACCTGAAGTATTATTAAATAAAAAGTATAAAAAGGAATCAGATATATACAGTTTGGGTGTAATCATGTCTGAGATGTCAACTGGCAGACCGCCATTTGATGATGAATCACATGATATGGATGATATGGAACTTTCAGTAAAAATTATAAATGGATTAAGACCAAAATTTGCACAAGGAACTCCAGATTGTTATATTCAATTATCAAATCGATGTATGGATGCTGATCCAGCAAAGAGACCAACTATTGGTGAAATTTATTGGGATATATATACTTGGTTAAATCTTTATGAGGATCTTGGAATTTCAGACAAAAAAGATCTTGAAGTCAAAAATGAATTTTTAGCAGCAGATAAAATCATTCCAACTCTATCGTTTACTTCACAGAGTCATCTGAACGCTATATATACAAGTAGACTTATTAATACAAAACATATTTCAAATACTTATGCATCTGTTGGCATTGCAGGTAATCACAATATGATATCATATCTTCAATTACAATATTCTAAAATATGATTTTAACATTTAATATATTTAAAAGATTTGCGAGATTCTCTTCAAATTAAATATACAATTCCTGGTGATAGCAGTTGATATATTATTACTTCAAAATTTATAGCTTAATTTAGTGTTATATGGTTTGAAATTGTGGCTTACACATTCCAGTGCGTGCAGAAACCATATTATCTTCATACTATTATTTATCGATTATTATCATATTTATCAAGATTAGTACAAAGTTTAACCTGTAGTCTTCGAAAATGTATTTAGTAACAAAATCTGACTATATCAGATATGCGCAGAAATATTTACGTCATTAAGTTATATTCCATTGTAAATGCGTGTTGACACATCTTACGATGGGATATAACTAGGGATGTTATCCTGTTCGCCGAAACTCAGTTCGGCCCTGTTTGGAACCGAACCCGGTGGAACTCGAGTTTTGCGGTCACAGGATAAACTTTAGACTTTTAATTACTATCGTTATGATGAACAAAATCAATTTTCTTTGCTTTAATAAAATGTAAGCTGGTTTAATTAAACTTCTCATGCAAGCATTAGTACATTTATATAAACTGAGTTCAAGAACCGGTTTTTATGTAAATATGCTCCGAACAGTGTTCCAACGGGTTTTAAGCACAAGCTAACCGGTTGGAGCAGGATAACATCCCTAGATATAACTCAATGACGGAAATATTTCTGCACCTATAGTTCTGACAATTTTATATAATTGTTTTGCGTTAGTATTGCACTAATTACGTAGTTTATATAAAATCATTTGTAAAGCCACAAATAACAGTACGTGAATCATTTTTAAAGGTTTTTATTGTTAGTGTTGCTATTAAATGACAGTAAATTTACTTTTGAGTTATATTTATTTCCTCAAATTAGTGCAGTACAACGGCAAAGACCACTATATTTTATAACGTTTTTTCTTGTGGTGAATAGTAAAGCTCGTTTTCAACCAAATGAATTATCCTTAATGAAGGGCATCATTTAATGTAAGATATAGTTGATTACTAATTATAAACCAATATGGAATTCTAAATAAACTTGGCCGGGTACAAAAATCTGACAGAAATTTTCAGGGGCGTTTCATTTATTGGAAACGCGTCAAAAACATAACTTTTGATCATCAAAGCGTATATTATTACTTTACTAAATTTTTATTAAATTGGATTTCTATATACATATTCACTGATACTTAATGATGGGCACCAACGCGTAATATGGAAAAAACCTATCCCGCGAATCACGCACGGATCACGCGTGTGATCCCGCATTCCGCGCGGGATTTCTGCTGATACTTTACTTTCATGGATTTGATTCTGTAGCGCCTTTGATTATTGGTACGTACGTCTCCCATTGCTTTTCCAATAATTCTAAGGAATTCATCATAGCATTACAGTACGCTTATAAGTGTGGCTGAAAAATAGGTATAATTACATGACATCAATTTTCTCGTGACTTCGTCACACAAGTCAACCTCTTAACTATGAAAGATATATCAATTTATACAAATTATTCAAATTACTCAAATTACTCAAATTACTTAAATTTACTTAAATTATTGTTTAGACAATTTAGTGTATTAGATACAATTCAAGTGAATTAAAGAACTTTAATGACCTTTTTTTTTCTCTTTACAAAAAAAAGTAAAAAAAATATGATTAAGTAAAAAAAAAATGAATAAATTACATCGAACAACGAATGTGAAATGTATGTGTGTGTGTATGTATAAAGAGGTAAAAGAAATTTTTTTTTTATATATTAATAAAAAAAAAAAAAACAATAATAACAATAATAATAATAATAATAATAATAATAAAGATGTTATTCAATTAAATTTAGAAATAGAATCTAAAATTTTATCAAAATTATCCACATCAAAAATATCATCACCATTTTGATTATTAAATAAATACCTCCTTATAAATAAATCATTATCATTTTCATTTAATTCAACCTTTCTATGAAATTCGTGATCAAGTTTTTGTTTTTGAACAAAATTTTCAATTTTATAATTAATATCTTTCATACTTATCCAAATCCATATATTTACACTGAGACTAAGTAATAAAGTCCAAATCATCATTGTTTCCAAACTAGGTACTTTCAATTTTTTAATAACAAATAGTATAATTTCAACTATTTGAGATAATATTGATATTAAAGTTGATAATATTAATTGTAATAAAGTCATATTTTCATCTTCATTTTGAAATTTTTTAGATTGTAAACTTATTTGAGAAGGTCGACGAGAAGAATGAACTGAACTACGTTTTGAACGAATTGAATGTGATTTTGATCTTGATTGTTTTGGTTTTGAATCATCATCTTTTGAAATTGTTGGTTCTATAAATTCAGTGTGTTTTGGAGATATATGTTTTCGAAGAGCTTTATCTAATGATTTGAAATAAGAAATTTGACCATCCATACAAGCCTTTTCTATTGGTACTATAATTGTAAAATGAAAAAAATTAATTTTAGAAATTAAAAAGAATTAATTAAAAATAAAAATGAATTATATTAATTATGTATAATTACTTTTTAAAAATGTTTTTTTTAAAAACTCAACATTTGTTGTAACAATGACACGCGCTTTATTTGCACCAGCCCACATTATACATGTTCGAGTTTTTACACAAAATGAAGTTCCTGTTGGAACGTCAGGTGTTTTAGTCGTGGTTATTACTGTTACATAACTATTAATAAATAAATAAATATATTATTATTATTATTAATTATTGTTAAAAAATAAGAATGTGAAATTTTTTAAAAGATTTAATAAAAGAAAAAGACATACTCATTGAAATCTTTATACAAAACTTCATCAGATAGGTAACATTTTGTACTCTTTAACCCTATATTAAACAAAAAAAGTCAGAATCATACATAATTTTTAAAACCACTAGAAATATTCTTCACCTTATAAGATCTTATAGACCTTATAGATGAAGTAAAAAAAAAACATACCGATAGAATTATTTAATTTCTTAATATAACTAGTATTTCTAGTCATACAATCATTTTCATCAGTTGCCCAATCACCAAATTCTACATCATTATTATTCTCAAGTTTTCTTACAAATTCAGGCATAAAATTACTATCAAATAAGATAGTAAAAATATTTTTAACACTACCAGTATATTTTGTATCCAACATTACAGATTTAGAATGTTCATCTTGTTGAAGGCATTTACATATTGTTTCTTTATGTTGCCTTATTTCAATAGGAGGATGAATTTGTTGTCTATTTATCGTTATCGTTTTTGGTATAGTAATTTTTAAAGGAGTTAATAATTTTCTTTTTGAATTTGATTCGGAAATATTTCCATTATCACTAAGGTTAGCCGAATCATTTCCCAATAAAATATTTGGTGATGAGTTATTCTTATTTATAGTAATTTTATTATTTTTTTCAAAATAACGAGAAGACTGCTTTGAAATCAAAGGTATTCGTGGTAACGAAAATTTTCCATTACGAGGTTGAGATGGTTTTGCTGTTGAAAATATATATATATATGATAATTAATTAAAAAAAAGTATGTAAACAATAATACATATAAATAATACACATAAATTCATGACTTAAAGACATACGTTTTTCACTATCAGAATCTTTATTAGGTTCAGACTCAGTACCCGAATTACTATTACAACTAGTATCATTTATAGCGCGAGCAGTTGGAATAGAATCAGAGCTACCATCTGATGAGCAGGGCCTGTGACTATAAGTGGGATTTTCACGTTTCCATAGTCTTACAAATAGATCATATGCACCATCTCGAAAGATGAATGAGGCGAACAAATACTAATTAAATTATAAGAGAAGAGAAAAAGTTAAAAAAAAAAATGAAATAGAAAATTAGAAAATTCAAAGCACACGCAAAAAAAGTTAAAAACATACCTTTGATTTGACAGTGGTTATTTGAATTGCATTTGGGATTACAATAGCTGTTGTCTTTTTTTCAATTCTTATTATTTCCGAAAACGGCATCACAACCTTTTAAAGTAATAAAAAAAAAACCATTTGAAAGAAATTCTTAATATTTTTCAATACCATACAATAATTACAAACGAAAATTAAAATAAATATAAAGGTTTAAATAATTACATCAGTAACCCAACCCAAGATATTTGCATGGAAGCAAATATGATTTACTGAGACATAAATTCTTCCTTGTAGTAGAATTTCCTTTTGTAATGCACACCCAAAATCTAAAGAAAAAAATAATAATAAGCTAAAAGTTTTTTTAAAGTTATTATTTTATTATAAAGAAAAAAATATATTACCATTTAAAAGATATTCGTCATTTGGAATACTTTTAAAGAATAAGTGATATTCTTTATTACGTTTAGGATTTTCTATTGCATAATCATTGAGCGAAGTTCCATAAAACATTGTTGAATCTGAATGATTAGAATTATCAAGTTTTATTTCTTGAGAACTATCCTTTTCAAAATCCGAATTAATACCAGAGATAGAAGAAGATTCAGGATAAGAATCAATTTCTAAATTAGAAGCAATAATGTTATCAAGATTATTTTGATCAGAAGACTTTGTAATTTTAACATTAGGTGAAGACCTAAAGCGAATTGGTCTTCTTGTAGATTTTAAAAAGGAAGTAGGAGGTTGTTGAACAGTAGCTATTGTAGTAGTAGATACTTGAGTAAATATGCAAATCTCTCCTTTGTTATTACTTCTAGTATCATCATTTGGTAAAGAAGAGGAATCACTTATAGGAGTAGTCAAATTTGAATTTATAAAATCATTGACAGTGGAAATATTTAAAGAAGAAGGTGAATGATCATCAGAAGAGGCCGAAACATAATTGATATCTTCAAAATAGTAATTATTTGGGGATTTTGCGGGAGTATTCATAGCAGTATTGGGAGGAGTTAAAGGAGGAGTAATGGTAGAATCCACATGAGCAGACGGAATGACATTTAAAAAATTGTTTTTATGATTAACATCTAAAGAATGATTGAACTTATAAGGAATGAGAGGAGGGGTGATAAGAGGATCATTAAGATGAACAGCGTTTAATTTATTTTTGTCGTCGGTAGACATGGTTGTAGATGAAAAATGTTAACAAAATGGAATTTGCTGTCGATATTTTAAGGAAAAGTGATCGATAGAATCCAAAATAGAACTCAGAATAGAAAAAAAATAACAATAATATTTATGTAAAAAAAATAAAAATAAATTTTTTAACCTAATTATGAATAAATTTTATAAGGGCCACAGACCATTAAAATCACAAAAAGGTTTTACATAAAATTAAGAAAGCAGTATCGATAAATCAAAAAAAGTGATAAGAATGGATTAATCGACCAGTTTTACACATACATATATGAGTGACGTTGAATGCATAAAAAAAAATGACGTGTAATGAATTAAGAAAGTAGAACAGATAGTAGAACCAACCCGCGAAAATAGCGGGAGGAGAGACTTTAAAAAAAAAGAAATTCGATAAATGAACTCAAAATAAACAAACACTGAGAAATAAACGGCTATAAAAGTACCAATACAGTATCATTATAAAGAAACACCACATTATTAAGTGCGCTTTTGTACTATTGCCTTTTTTAATATGGTTTATGTATGTTATGTTTACATATTAGTGTCACTATTTTTTAGTGTTACATATATATTGATAATTTTAAATTATTTTGATTGGATTATTTAATTAAACAGCATCAGTGTATATCAGTGTATATCAGTGTATATCAGTGTATATCAGTGTATACCAGTGTATACCAGTGTATCAACTCCTTAATCTTCTTCATACACGCGTATGTATATCAAAAATGCATAACGATAGCGATCGTAAATTATTAATAATCATTAATGCTTAAAATGTAGTTAAATATACTTAGTGGAGAATAATTTTTTATATACATATACAATAGCTTTAAAATACTGTATAATAAGATTTACTAAAATCATTATGAAAATTAATTTTCAAAGAATATAAAGAATTCTATTATATGTAATTCTGTGATAAAATAAAAAACGTGTCAGATAATCAATACGTAAAAAGAGCATACTTTAGAAGTGGTCATTTGATAATGTAACGCACGTTTCCATACATTTTCATGTGAGACCTTTAAATTTGGACAATATCAAATTTAGAAATAATATAATAGTTAACGTTTAAGAAGAGATTAAAAAAATTAAAAAGAAAGTCTTACATACTTTTCACATAGTTTTACATAGTTTTACATGCTGTTACATACTGTTACATACTGTATACATCGGTTTTCCCATTTTACATTGTTACATTGTTTGTGACTTTTGGCTTGCATTCGTCACTCAATACATTTGTACCAACCACCATATACTTTGTGAATTGCCTAATTAGCAGAACGAAAACTATGTTTAATGTTACATTAGCGATAGAATTAGAGTTAAACATGACTTTTGTGAATGTACGTACGACTCAATTTAGTTATTTGATTGTAATTCGGTCAAGTAGAACTTTAAAAATTTTATTTTCCGCCATAAGATGAAACTATAAAAAAAAATATGTCTCAAAATAATTTGTTACGTATAAAATTTACCATAAATAATTATCATACAGTACGTAACAGAATTTATCATCATAAGATTTACTATAGGTTAATCTTTTCATTACGTATTATATATCATGAAATATAACAACCAAGAAAAAGCATATGTGTAGCTTCTATAAATAGTAATTCTTTGTCTTAAACGAAGGATATGTACATATGTACATATGTACATGCTTAAAATCGTCAAAAGATGCTGACAATTAATAAAGTACATTATTTTTCTTTTTCATAGTAAACATGGGTCGTATAACAGTTGTTATACGTCAAATAGACTCACACAAACTCACGTTATAACAGAAAAAGAAAAAGAAATCCGTTATTGGATGTTTCGCATCCAATAACAGCGTATCTGGCTTTGCTTTGAATTTAATGTGCTTGACAACCTGAGCCCCTTCGGGGCCCAGGTTAGCACATTAAATTCAAAGCCAGATACGCTGTTATTGGATGCGAAACATCCAATAACTATTTATAATTTCCAAAACTTGGATCGCTACCCCCGGTTACTCAAAAAATCTTTTTTTACGTAGATTCTCAAAACTATTTTCTCCTGAGAGTTCTAAAAATTCGTGAATATCCATGTACGTACATATTATACGTGCATATGTATTCAGAATAATACAGTAATAAACGATAAAACTAACACAAAATTATATGTACCAGGTACTGTACAGTACGTGTATTATTAATAATATTTCACTAAGTATAAATGAACTATTTTATGGTTAAGATTTTCGGGTTTTCATTTAGGATTTTCCTGGATTTCTGGTTTTTAATTAAAAATTCCCATTTTCATTTTATGATACGTATTATATCTGATGTTATCAGCTGCCAATAGTATTATTGAAAATATTATTGATATAATTATTGATATAGTATTATTAACATAATATAATATTGGTATTTAGTAAATATTATTAAAGTATGATTAAAAATCCTACGTACAAACACAAAGGTGGCGTATTTCGGCGTATTTTTCTGTAACATCTTTGACAAGATCTACGGAATATTTATTTTTTTAAAGTTATCGAGTTATATATCGGCTATCACATATTTAGGTGATTCAAAAATTAATTACGTACGACAACTTTAATTTTTTTTTACAGCTGTTCTCATAAATTCTGGGACAATGAAATTTTTCTGATGACGAGTTCGGCCAAAGTCATTTACCGATTTTGTAATCGAATTCAGTCATCAGTTGTCCCAGAATTTATGAGAACAGCTGTAACATATGGATAACTTACTTCTCTCAACTGTTATTGAGAAGTAAATATTAACGTTGAGGTTGAGTTAAATTGAGTACCACCATAGTCCTTTGTCGTACGTACTGTAAAAAATATCTAGTTTCTTTTTTTTTGGCGTCTCTGTCTTAACATACATTACCAAACCTGTTTCCAATGTTCCAATGCAATGTATACCACTTTGCTATACACATAACTTATTCATATGTCTGTAATATAACCTTTAATTACTATCTCTATAGAATTCAGTATAGATTTTACTACGCATAAAAACTGTCGCAAAAACACCGTTCCTGATGGATCGTCGGTACTGGGATGAAAAAAAACCCCCGAAATATAAGATTATAAGATCAACGCATAACATACATAAAATTCAAAAAAAAAAGGAAATTAGTATTCAATAAAGTTTTTCAGCTCAAATCTTCTTACCGATTCGTGCGAAATAACGCCTATGGTCATTATTTTAAGACAAGAGAGCTAATTCGCATAGATACAGTACTATATTATTTTAAGACCAATATTTAGGAAAGTTGAAATCAACGTTATGAATCAATCACGGGTCGTGACTTAGCATTCGCATTATAACTAAGCATCGTCATGAGAATTAATTTCGGGGTTCCTTTAAGAACTCTATCAGGAACGGTACGTAAATCGGATTTTTTTTCATCCTATCAGGAACAGTACCGGCGATCCATCAGGAACGGTATTTTTGCAGAACTGTCAGTTCGTTAACAATATTAACGATCAAAATTACACAGTAAAAATTTTGAAATATTTTTACGTAAGCTTAAAATTATTAAGATACTTTGTTCAATGCTTTGAAAAATTTTTTAGATCATTACTTTAGAAATAATCATCTAATCTTTGTTAAATTTTGTTACAAACTTTAAACGAATAATAACCTATTTTTCAATTGTTACCAAAAAGAATTTTAGGTTTATCTGATTGGTCGATTGATCATCAAATGTAAATCAAGCATATTCGAAATTTAAAAATAGAATCCCGTTTTCAGTTAGCATTACTCATTTTAGATTTGATACGGGATTCATAAATTTAAAGGAGATATTAATCTATGCAGATTCAAATTTTAACTACTTTTAAACTAAAGCATTTGCATCGGTACGACATTTTAAGTTTCTTGTAACAATTCTTGTGATATTTCATAAATATGTATTTGAAAAAAAAAAAAAGGTTTAGGTCGTGCTCGAATAATATGTCTCATTGCGTTATTTTTAGAAAAAAGCTAATTAATAATTTTTGCATTATAAGTTGCTTAATTTACTTTGTAAGTGATACAAATTTAAAAAGGTAAACATAGCATACAATATACGTACTAAAATTTTGCAATGAATTTTTTTTTTACTACGCAAAACATAAAGGTGATTTTCGTATACGTACGTACGTACGTACGAAGTTCTTCTAACGTTTACACCTGACGCACAGATCTCCAGTTATATGAGGGCCCTTCGGGTCCTCATATAATCGGAAGTTTATTTTTTATTCCGGGAAATAAATGAGAGAAATGAGACTTTATTATTTATTGTGATACGTAGATTTTTTAAAGGGCTGAGCTCAAATAAAATGATGAAATCCCAAAGTCTCATTTTCCCTTGGCAGCACTCAAATAATACTTATTTAACCAAATTTACTAAAATTTCAAATTCATTCAATCAATTGATATTCATTGTTTGTCAAAAAATCAGTCGATATGATGGAATATTCCGGCTTGGTTTTTTGTTGCGAATATGGGATTGGCTAGGTTGGCCAATGGATCAAGATATGGCTTAGTAAATGCCAATGGATGGACAATATCCATTGACAATTTATTCAGAACCCATTATAGTCCATTGCCAACTCTTGGGGATTGGTATTATTATCAAAGATTGCAGGTATGAATAATTCTAATGGAATGTATGCCTAAAGTCAAAATTAATGTTATAAATCGAAAGTAATAAAGTATAATTAATATATGATGTTATGTAATAATCGATAACAAAAAAAAGTATATTTTATTTCTTACGGTTTGTAGAATTCTGTATCATTCTCAAAAAATTATCTAATTTCTGATATACTTATATTTTTTTATTAAACTTTAGAATAGATTTTGATCTCAAAAAATATTTATACATTATATCAGATATTAGAAATTGGAAATTAGAAATCGGAAATCGATCTTTTTTTGCAATACACTCTACCCCGTTAAAGCGGATCCCTCATTATAACGGAGTAATTCTCTAGTAATTCTCTAGAACATTTT